CCCCAAAACCCCAAAACCCCAAAACCCCAGAAAGTAATAATAAATTGAGATAAATAAATGCTAAAGCACCAAATTGATGGCGAAGAGATAGAAGTAGAGAAAGCTGATCTTATCTGCGAGGATAGTTTAGACTTATCTCAATGTGACTCTTCTGTACCCCAGGATTATTCACATGAAGAGGTTGATGAATTAATCTTAAGAATCAAAAGAAACTGCTTCAAAGGATTCTTCAAGAAAGCAGGTGACCAGCTAGGAGTTTTGGAAGACCTGATAGAGAAAGCTAAGAGTGAAGAACGGAAGATACCCAATGACCACACTCATTTTATTAATAGTGAAGAAGCCAATAGACTCAGAGAAACCAGAGAGATGTTGGATCAGTGTCTAAAGTCAATGATCAGATTTGAGGAAGACTGGAAATTATATAAAGATGGAGGTGACTGGAAGATCTTCAACAAGCCAGATACTTTTGTCAGAGGTTCGAATGGCTACGAATTCGGAATTGAGACAATCATTCATTCCAATTATATTAACCCAGTTGTGATGATCAATGAGATAGACCTTTATAAGCAATGGTTCCCAAAGGTTAAAGGCACTGAAGTTAAGGCAAAAGATGGTGAATTCAGAAAGCTAGTTTACCAAGAACTTGAATTCCCCTGCCCGTTTTCAAATAGAGATCTTGTCATGAATGTAGTTGGATGTATCTTACCTGAGCAAAATGCTCTTTGAAGTATTTGAAAAAGTGAGGAAAGCTCTTGGTATGGAAATAACGGGCCTGCTCCAATTGATGGAATTGTACGTATGAAGCTTCATAATAGCTTTTCATACTTACAAATCTTGAACGATGACGAAACATTACTCAGAGTAATGATTAATATCGACTTCAAACTAAAATTTGTGCCCGATTGGCTCATAAATTATTTCATTGGTAAGTGAGCACTTAAGAGTAAATATCCAATCTATTATATTTTGAAATTTAGCTTTCTATCTCTTTCATAGTGCCAAGATTATCAGAATGGATTGAAAATATCAAAGACAATTGATTGAACTTTAAAGGAACTTACTATGAATCAAGGCTTCATGAAGGTTCTGTTTACAGGTACATCAAATCTAGACTTGAAAAAGAGGAAGAAGATCAGCCTGAAGACGAAGGAGAATAAGATATTTTCTATAAGGACTATCTTTCAACTTTATCTGTTATAAAAGGGGTTTTGGGGTTTTGGGGTTTTGGGG